CGAGTTATCGCCCTTTTATGTCTTTGCACTTACTATTTACCTGTTAACTTTGAAAGTATAAGTCCTAGACGCACGGGGCAAATTACAATGTGATCTTTGACCTTAAATATTTCATAAAAGTCAAAGGTCAAGGTCATTTCCATTTTTTTTTTCAATTTTTCATAATTTCAGCAATTTCTTATTTTTTTTTCAGTTGTTTAGTTCATAAGAATGTACTCCGTTTAAGATTTTGCAGTTGACCCAGCATAAATGACCTCCGATCCCTTAAGGAGTTATTACTCCTTTTGCAAAAGAATGCTTGTTATTGTTACTCTTACTTAATTGTTAACAGCAGAGACATGAAGGGTCACGCCCTTATTCAAGGAGAGATAATTCAGAAATAGTGAAAATTTGATGGTATGTTTACAAAATCTTCTTCTCAAGGACCACTGCGTCAGGAAAGTTGAAACTAATGTGGTATCATCCTAAGGTAATGAAGATTCAAGTTTGTTCAAAGCATGACCCCAGGGCTAGGTTGGGGACAAAATGGCCGACCAAACTTTTACATAGGAATATACAGGAAAAATCTTTTTAAATCTTCTTCTCAAGAACCACTGGGCCAGGAAAGTTGAAATTCATATGGTACCATCCTCAGGTAGTGTAGATTTAAGTTTGTTTAAATCATGACCCCGGGGGGTAGAGTGGGGCCAAAATGGCCGACCAAAGTTTTACAAAGAGAATAAAGGAAAAATCTTTTAAAATTCTCTCAAGAACCACTGGGCCAGGAAAGTTGAAACTCATGTGGTATCATCCTCAGGTAGTGTAGATTCAAGTTTGTTCAAATCATGACCCCCGGGGGTAGGGTGGGGCCAAAATAGCGGACCAACGTTTTACATATGAATATTTAGGAAAAATCTTTAAAAATCAAGGTTAAACAAACTTGAATCCCCTTCATCTAAGGATACTTTGTGGCAAGTTTGGTTGAAATTGGCCAAGTGGTTCTTGAGAAGAAGAAGAAAATGTGAAAAGTTTACGACACGACGACAACAATGACGACAGACAACGGACAAATTTTGATCATGAGCCTTCGGCTCAGGTGAGCTACAATGATTTCATTTTGTTAAAGGTTACTGGTAATAAATCTTATGTATTCCAGATGCCGTGTTGTTCTCCCTTAAGGAGTATACTGAGTAAAAATTTAATGAGGACCTGGGAAAATTCCTGAAGTATCCTTCAGAGCGATTTGGAGGGGAAGGTAGGAAAAAGAAGGATTGAATAATTCTTAGCTGAAAAGTGAGCTTTTCAGATCACATTTTGTCCGACGTCCATCTGTCAAAGTGTCTGTCTGTAAATATTTCACATTATCGACTTCTTCTCTAGGACCAATTTCAAGGGTCAATTTCAAGCAAACTTGCCACAAAGCATCCTTGGGTGAAAGAGATTTAAGTTTTTTCAAATGAAGGGCCACGCCCTTATTCAAGGGGAGATAATTCAAAAAAAGTATTAATTTGGTGACATGTTTTAAAAATCTTCTTCTCAAGAACCAATGTGCCAGGAAAGATAAAACTTACAGGGAATCATCCTCAAGTAGTGTAGTTTCAAGTTTGATCAAATCATAATAATCGGGGTAGAGCGGGGCCGCAATGGCCGATCACAGGTTTACATGGAAATAAATAGGAAAATTCGTTAAAAATTTTCTTCTCTAGAATATCAAAGGCATGATTGATCAAATAAAATTATATGGAAGCATCATTAGGTAGTGTAGATTCAGGTTTGTTCAAATCATGAATTCTTGGGGAAGGGCAAGCCACAATGGCTGATCAAAGTTTTACATAGAAGTAAAAAGGAAACCTCTTTTTGAAAAAATCCTCTTCTGAAGAATAGCAAAGACATGATAAGTCTTATTTAGATGAAATCATTCTCAGGTAGTGTCGATTCATGCTTGTTCAAGTCATGACCCCTAAAAGTAGGGTGGGACCGCAAAGTAAGTTTAGTTGTAAAGGGCAACAAATCCCCCCCTTTGTTCACATTATACCCTCTCCCCTTCTCCCCTTTAAGGATTTAGATGTATAACAGGGCACTTCCGGTAAAAACGACGGCGTCTGTAGATGATTGCCAAGGTCATTATGAACACTGTTTCTATTGAAGAGTTATCAACCCTCGTAAACAAGCATGGTTCTTCGTCAACACGGCTTGATAGACGCTGGCATTATTCATGCCGTCAGATGAGAGAAATATACTTATAACAGAGGAAAGAACAAATGTTAGATTGATAGAAAACCATGATATAGTAGTTTTGTTAGACAAATTGCTGCATAAGCAATCTTTTCAAATTGCTGCATAAGCAATCTTTTCAAAGTAAAATACATACTTGACTTTTTCCAAGTTCTAAAAATAGCACATCTTTCAATGTGTAGAGAAAATGACGTAATTTTTTTATTTCTTTAAACTATGTAATATTTTAACAGATTTTCGTTATTTCTAGTCGTTTTTCAGTAAACATAGTAAAGAAACACATGGAAGTGTGCATCTATAATCATGTTAATTCGCTAAACTAGATCTAGACCGCGGTTACAGCTATAGATCGGAACATGTACATTGTCATTCGTTTGCATAAAAAATTCCCTGAGTTTTCTCTGATGAAAAAAAAACATTTTCTGGACATAACAGATGTGTTTTGTTGTGTAACTACATGACTGTATATTAAGGTTGTGTTTCCAAAATTAAAAAAAAATCTTCCTGGTTTTAAATTAAAGGTTTATAAAATATCCGTATTAACAGAGAGGAAATTAATAAAATAAAATAATAAAAAAAAAAGAACAAAACTTTAAGGACTAAATAAAACACATTTTGTTTTTCTAATCTAGGTATTTATTTCATAGAGAAAAAAATAGATGGGGAGGGGGGGGGGTATCATAATAAATATTTATATTAAATTGATTTCATTTTCATGATTTTTGCAATTCTCTGAGGAAAAAATACCATACTTTTTTAACTAACATAAGAACAAGATTACATGTACATTTTTTTCTATCTCCCAGAATTGTTATTGTACAAGTGTATAAATACGTTTTTTTTTCAAGGTTAAAAGGTCAAGGACATTGTTAAAAATGTCATAAGGCTTATTTATTTATGTTGTTTTATACACTTATCAATATAAAAGTATGGCATAATCATACTAATAGTGTTGAGAATGAAAAGTTATATTTGTGTGTCAGCAAACGGATACTAAAATTGGGGGTAGGGGTAGTAAATGCTCAATTACTCCAAAATATCCTGGTAAAAATATTTTATGTATTTTATTTTTGTACAACATTGATTAGAGTCATTTTCTATCAAAGAAATTTTTAGTCCACTCTTTTCTTTTTTAATTAAAAAAATTAAAAATTGTTTTTATAAGAATTACACACTTAGCATTGAGTAACGTATTTTAATCTGGAAATTTTATTAATTAATTGTAACTTTTGAAAAAAGTCTTTTATTATGAAGCTTCTATGTTATTTTTGTTCATCTAAAGTAAAATTACTGTCTGAAAATGAGTTTATTTCACAGAATTCCTCTTCTGGTATAACACACCCTTCACTCTTTCCGACAGTGGGGGTATGATTTGAAAATTCTTCTTTTTTCAGATATGTCTGGACAAAACTTTATGTAACTTTGGAATTAAAGCCTCAAAACACTAAAGATAAGGAAATATAAAGTAAAATTTCATTCTTCAACAATGCTTGTTATACAATCCTAATACCTTAAGGATTGGTTGGGACCACTTTTGGGTTTAAACTTTTGAATAATAAACTGATTTCTGCTTTTTTCCTAGCCTCAGTGCTCAGGTGAGCGATGTGGCCCATGGGCCTCTTGTTGTAAAGAAAAATAAACCAAACTTTAAAAAGTAATCATGTTGTCATGTTATCATTAAATTATGCTTGCTAGTATTGAAAAAGCAATGAGAAAAAGTTTAAAATGTGGTTAAAAACAATAATCAATTCCAATATTGTTTACACAGGGAGAAGGAGGCCAATAAAAAATTTTCAACAAGAATTCTACTACATTTAAACATTGAAATAAATGTCAGGAGACGTTAAATTAACGTTGAAGCAACGTTTTAATTCAATGTTGAAACGACGTCATAATTCAACGTCCATTCAACTTTCAAATCCTAAATCCTAAACTAAATATCAATGTCATTTCAACGTTGGGGTATAACGTTGTTTCAACATTGAAACAACGTTGAAATGCCTGCTGGGTATGCAATTTCACTATAAAATCAATACAGCCCCACCCTAGCACCTCAGAACCCCTTACAAACTATATACTTATTTTCTTTATTTAATGCTCCCGTGGGGATCCGGGTTAGAATAGGATCTCGGTACCCCCTTGCTTGTCGTAAAAGGCGACTAAATGGGGCTTTGTGCCAAATTTGGTTGAAATTGGTGAAGTGGTTTCAGAGAAGAAACTGAAACTGGCACCCTAGAGATTCTTGCTCATGGGATACGTTTAACATGTAAATGTGATACATGGCCATACATCAGGTTGATTAAAGAAGACATCCTCAACGGACTTTAATGTAAATACCACTGCCTATTTGGTGGTACCAAAACTTGTGATATATTGTAAAACTATAAAACCGCGTCACCAATACATGTCATTGATGTACAAACAGAATGTACTTTGTCAGTTAGAACAAACAAGATATATTAACATATACATGTAATCAGATCTGAAAAATATTATCTATAAATTCTATATTGCCTTTATTCACTTTTATTGGCTAGCCTCTGTGGGAATTTGTCACAATGATTTTTTGTAATTTTAGCCACTTATCTAAATAACAATCAAGTTAAATTGACCCAGTTAATTGATGCTATGGTATTTTATCAACTAGAAGATTGGGGCGACAAGCGGACTGGGGAATGATGTTTGACACTTTGATAGCTCTTAATGATTATCTCTAATTTTTGTTGACCGAGATAAAAATATTTATAAATGCTAAACAGAGAGATGTTTCCATATCATTTATGTGAACTGGCTGAGAAACAAGCAATGGTGATACCAATGTGGCAGTTTCTTACTATTGCGTTAGTTCTTTGGATGCAGACTGGAAGAGTTCATTGTGTAAGTTATATTTGCAAGTTCTCAAAAATAAGGGTTTTTTTTTTATTTATTGATTTTAGGACCATTTTTCCAAAAAACAACTCGGAAAAAATGTAAGTGCTTATTCAAATCCTTAAAGGTTAAAACGGTTCAATTTAGTACAATAAAAACCCCTTCCCCGTAAAAGAAGGTACGATGTGGGCTTTATTGTGCTCTTTAAATTTAATGTTTTCAAAAAAAAATATGAAATTGGCTGAAATATGAGTTGAGTATAAATGTAATAAATCATGAAAGAATATGACATAAAGGAGGACCATTCTAGAATTATGCAGTTATTAGTTTTGAACATTTCTAAGATTAAATATTTTAAACAGATAAAGGCCCAAAATGGCTCATTTCAGGGGTCGTTATCTTTGAGCCATTACCCACTTCGATTTTCATATGTGTTGCGTAAAAATCTTAATTTGAAAAATCATATTCCTCAAAATCATTGTAAGTGATCGATACATGTCCTTTTACATTATCTGAAAGAAAAATCCACTGAAAATTTGATAAATGTATTCTGCAACTTTTGATAAAAAAAAATACTGGAAAATATGCATTTTCATGACGTCACAACAAGCATTTAGCAGGCCGTATCAGAAAAAATGATCGATATATTTTATACAGCATGGAATTTCAATAATTCTAAAAGGATGAATTCTGATTTTTTACTCCACTTCCATATTTTTAAAAATCTGAGGACCAGATTTGTTTTGAAACTACCTTGTTCTGTACGAGCTCCTTTGAAATGAATCGTTTTTTTTTTTTGTTTTTTTTTTTTTGGCTGGTTTAAGAAAAAAAATTATTGTTTCTATATGAAATGTAGGGATGAAAAAAACTATTTGAATAATCAGGTTGTATTTGTACATGTATTGGCCTCTTTAAATGATTTGATGTGAGAATACCATTCATGGACGGTCATGCAAGTTTGGTTCTTAGTGATTGTATCATAGTTAGGTTTGATTTCTTTTGTTAAAAGTGGGGGTTTTTCTGTACAAAACCCACACTTTTTAATAACTCCGCCCACAGAGTCGGGACAAAAGAGCTATAAAAATTATAAAAATCATGCACAATATTTGAATAAAAAAACCATCCGGGCTTGTTATACCAAATTCAAGAGAGTAAAAATTATCAATCTTATTGTAGATTGCATTATGTATTATTAATTAACATTTAAATGCGGATATGAATACTTTGACTTTCGTAAAAAAAAAATGAACAAAAAGCCTTCAGAAATCGCTTGATTTTTATAACATTTTTAATAAAATAAAAAGTGTCTTGACTCGGGTGACGTTAGCTTAGTAGATTCCAATATCGTTCTTTAATTAACCAACAATGGAAACAGGATACATACATAACGTACGATTAAAGATGTACAAAACTGTACTTAAATAATTAAGATTTCTATTCTGGATCTAGCCGATTAAAAATCTGAATTGTATATAATCCTTAACAAACATTTCAATCAACGTACATGTACCACTGTGCAGGATAAAGTATCTATCGGTTAACAAAACTAACCTAAGTTCATTCAAGATTTTAATTATTTGATTTTGACACCTGAAGTATACGAGGAAAAAATCATGTCAAATCAATAAATCTTAATAAAACCAAACTCATTAAATGTTCTATTACATAAATCAGGCAAATTTCTTAAACGGACTTAGAAATGTTTAATTTCTATGTCGCCCGCATGACGCAGTGGTTATGCCGCCTGCTCTTGAGTTGCAAAGAAAAAGAGCCATTGTGGTAGGTGGAGTCCGGTCCCTCGGATGAGACCGTATTAAATGAGGTCCCGTGTCGCAGAAGGTGTTGACAGAAAAAAAGATTCCTTTATGCTAAGTAACCTTGAGTGCCGATTATAGGACAAAATTTGCAGCTCTCCATCGGCAAGTGATGGCGTCTCCTAATGATTCAAAATTCTCGAGAAGAACGTTAAATAACATACAATAAATTGTTGAAAAGTATTTTATACACATCATTTAGACTACACTCGATGGAAGTCGTCAGAAGGACACGAAAGAGTGTAAAATCATATAAAATCCAAATGAATCACTGAAACCCAAACACTTAATTTTTCAATCACACGAACAAGTCCTACTTACTACTAAGTTGACTTACATATGAATAATTTTTTGAAAACTATGGTACATGTACAAGTCATTAAGCCAATATAATACTGTTGATAATACTGCCGATGGGCGTGGTCATTATGACAGCTCGGAAGCTACGCTCCCTCATGCCATTATGACCACGCCCATTGGGTATCTACGAGGGGTGATCAAAAAGTTCGTAAACTAATTGAATAACTTCCATACAAGAAACAATATTTGGTTTTAATGTTGATTATATTTTAAATTAATCCTACCAAATTTTAATGCACATCAACCACCGTTCTGCGCATGCGCGAATCACGTGATATTGGCGGTCACGTGACCCCCTCCGTAGCGTTCTGTCACAAAAGTTGAAAGATTTTTCCAAGTTTTTTATTTCTTTCCATGTGAGTTAATTTTTATGACAAGAACAGTTCATTTGTCAGAAATGGTCATATCTCGGCAACAGAATGGGTGGAAAATAATATCCTTTTCAAAAATTAGCATGGCGACCATAAAAACACAAATCTTCGGTCTCAGGAGAGACCTTTATTCAAGGTGGATAGAGAATGGGTGCATCCTTTTTATCATATCTAATATGTTTAAAATCTAAAGTAAACGATATCTTAGGTATTTAATACTTATATCATTGTTCAAATATTCAACTATTTTTCAAAGTGCTAATTGGAGGTCTTTGATAGCAAATTGCTTAATTAAAAATACATGTCTTTTCAAACTTGCTTTCACTGGGTAAGATGACAAGTATCATTTTTAACCATCAGCCTTCCTTCACTAAAGCGATTAATCCAATCATTAATTAAATTTATAGGAACTCATTTATCTCAATAAACTGTGAACAAATTATTATATGATACTGTAGAGGGATTTCTAAGATATTACAATAAATTGTACAGTCGTTTGTTGAAGGAGTTCGACTGAGACAACCATTTTTCGTCACAAGTGACCTAAATAGTGACAACATTTTCACATTGTGACGTCACAAACAAGAAGAGAAACTTTATTCAGCATGTTATTTATAGACCTTGTGTATGGCTATGTGTGTACCGAATTTCATTCTAATCTGAATTGATTTTGTAGATACAGAGACAGTTTGCGAAATTTTTGATCACCCCTCGTACACATAATCAACAGTTTTATATGCATGGCACGCCAAATTTACAAAAATGAGATAAACCTAGTTTCACATTTGATAAACTAGGTTTATCGACTGTAAACTATAGTTTACAAACCGTAAACTATAGTTAACGATTCGTTAAGTATAGTTTTCATCTGTAAAACTATATTTAACGGTTGTTAACTATAGTTTACGAATGATAATCTAAGTTTATCTGTCTGTAATAAGCGTTAACAATAGATTTTGTTGATAAACATATATTCACGTTTGTAAACTATAGTTTGCAATCGTAAACTATAGTTAAGCGTTGTTAATCATAGTTTCACAAATCGTGAAACTATATTTATCACATCGTTAACTATAGTTATCGGTTTGTAAACTATAGTTTACAAATCGTGAAACTGTATTTATCAGATAATCTATGTTTTGCGATCGCAAATGATTGTTTTCGGTGTTAAGTATAGTTTACGGTAGGGAAACATAGATTATCGCGTTAACTATGGTTTACGGATGTTAAAATAGATTAACGTTGTTAACTATAGTTTACAGTCCGTAAACTATAGTTTACAACCTATAAACCTAGTTTATCGACTGTGAAAATATCTTTAGCTCATTTTTGTGAATTTAGCGTGCCATATATATGGGGTAACTACCGCAGGTTTTATGTTCACGACTTTTTTTTTTTGCAAATAGTTATTTTTTTTTCCTTCGTTTAAAATGAGAAAGATTTTACAAAAACGGTGTTAAAGCAATGTTTTTTTAAAAAATACTTCACAGCAGACAATGGAAACTGTAAGGCCATTAGAAAAGGTGAAAATACAACCCATGTATTTCAATAGATCACTTGATCAAGGGAAGAGAGTAGTAATCACCCGCTGTGTATTCCATGGACCCCGCGATTTGACAGCGACATTTTCTAACATCGATGGAACATTTAAAAAAGGTTATTACTTTCTAACCTAAAGTATTATAAGCTTTAGTATATAAAGTCTGAATTAGATTGTATGAATCAAGTAGTAACCTGGAGTATTATAAGCTTTAGTATATAAAGTCTGAAGTACTGTATAAGTAGCATTTTTAGCGAGGATTTAATTTTGGCATTATTAGCGAGGGTCCTACGGTCGCTAAAATTAAATATCGCGAAAAATGAATTGCATTTTATTTGCAAAAGCTCGTTTAGTAAGTACTTTTAAATCGCTAAAATTACCTCTAGCTAAAAAGAAATTACCATTTATTAAGGAGAAATCGCTAAATTTGCGTCTCGCTAAATTTCCACTTCTACAGTATATTGATTTGATTCACGTAAAGGTTAACAGCAAATTTTTTTTTTTTAAACAAAAGGCCACCTGAGTATCATGTAACTAACCATTGAATTTGATTTGTGTTCTAAACCAGAGGCCATGAAATTCACAATTTTGAAAGAGGCACCATTGCTTATCATAACTATACACTTAGGATTCTTACTTCGGTTATTTAGTACCCAGAAGTAGATCAGAGTAACAAGAGAAAGCGCATTTCCACTATTTCCATCAGTTGTGCATCACATCCCACAGGAACCACTGACCCTTGGGCCACATCTTTCAACATTTTGTAAATTACATAAATTTTATTTCATCATGTTGTCGATTTATACCAAAGACCATATTTCAAAGCATTAAATTATTTTCAGACTATGTATACCTCAAGTACCTCTGTCAATTCTGGAAGAAGCAGCTTTCTTTGTCATTAATATGTAATAAAATCATTGGCATAATACGCAGGAGCAAAGGAAAATATCTTCAAAGAATTCATGGATTTTTCCTACATAAACATTAGAGCCCCGCCGTTACACAAGAAGTCCCGAGTCCCAGGGGCCCTGAACTTCACAAAACTCATCAAAGAGACATCTTTTCTCCTCATTACTACATGTATGTACGTAGTTCATTGGTTTAATACCCAGGTGCAGAAAAGAGTTTTAAAGAATTTATGCATTTTCACTATATAATCAATTGAGCAACATACTAACACGAGAACCCCAAACCCAGGGGCCATAAAATTGACAATTTTGAAAGAGGCAGCCTTATTGAACATGACGATGTACTTGGTTATAGTTTATTTAAAACTCGGGAGCAGATAAGATTTTCAAAGGAATAATTTATTTGCACAATGTAATCTAAGTAGCCCCGCCCTAGCACTAGAACCCCTGACCCTGTGGCAATTAAATTCACATTTTTGGAAAAAAGCAGCTTTATTCAACATAACTATGCACTTGATTAGTTTATGTCCACGAACAGAAAAGAATTTCAAAGAATTTATGCATGTTCAATATATAATTTTTATAGCTTCACCCTAGCACTAGAATCCCTGACCTTGGGGCCATGAAATTCACAGCTTTGGAAGAGACAGCAATATTTAATATAACTCTGCACTTGGTTAGTTTATTTAATGCCCACGAGCAGAGAAAAAGAATTCCGTAAGAATTGGTGCATTTTCACTACATAATCTATATAGCCCTGCCACTACAACCCTGACCCTTGGGCCATGAGATTCGCAATTTTGGAAGAGGCAGTCTTATTCAACATAACTATGCACTCTTTTAGTTTATTTTATGCCCCTGGTAAGAGGAGTAGACTTTTAAAGAATTTATGTATTTTCACTATATAATCTATATAGGCCCGCCTGAGGACTAGAACCCCTGACCATGGGGCCATGAAATTCACAATTCTGGAAGAGGCTGTCATTTTCGACTCAACTGTGCACTTGCTTAGTTTATTTTATACCCAAGAGCAGAAAAGAAGAAATCAAAGAAATAATACATTTTCACTATATAACCTATTTAGCCCCGCCCTAGTACTAAATCCCTGACTCGGGGGCCATGAATTTCACAATTTTGGTAGGGGTTTATTGCTGATCTCAATCATACAAACAGTTTGACTGCTTGACGTCCAAGATTTTTAAATATTGCACTAATTTTAGTAGTTTTTGTCCCATCCCCATTTTTGTTTTCCTTCACCCATAGATGCTTTTTGCCAAATTTGGTCAGTGGTTTCAGAGAAAAAGCTGAAAACGCACGACCACGGACGAAAACGGATAGCAATAGCAATACCTATAATTCCAAAGAAAAACATTTATTTACTTACGGTTTATAGTTGGGTTTTTTTCTTTTCACACTTGGAAATAAAATTTTGCCCTGTTTTAAATTCGCCCAATCATAGTTCTGTTCAAATTATTGACTTTTTTATTCACACATTTTTAATTTCGCCTTTTAGAAGGTCGAAAGAAGCGAAAATCTCCCTGTATACATTTGTTTGTAGGTATTTCCCCCTTAAATTTTATACTACTGTATTCTATTAATTAATGTGAAATGTGCGTGTTTCGATTTCAGGGAAGGACATTGACAAAGACATTTCAGAATACGAAGCAGTTTTTCAGTCCTCCATTGATGTTCTCAGTTTTGGTAGAATAGAACTTGAGTCTGCGTCAACATTTGAATCTTTTAGTGCAGATTTTAACCTCCCCGAGACAAATAGATCTATGCAGACCAATTTTCTTTTTTCGAGCTGCAAGTTTGAAGTCAAGAGGTCCAGCGATGAACAAACAACTAACTATTCTGCTATTGCGAAAGAGTGCGGAAATATGGCGACCAAAGTAATGTATCTTAACTTCCCAGTTAGTCTGACTGATGGGAACAGTGCAAAATATACCCAAGCGTCAGATGGAGTATATCGTTTACCAGAAACTACAGCAAATATCGTTATGAAGACGAGCAAATTGGCTAATGATGGCGTTAACATTAACTATGTCTACTTCTCCATAATCATCTTCGACACGAAGATTTCGCCGATGTCTCATTTTCTTACTTGGTTATTCCGGCTGATGTAACCATTAATCTTATAATTAAATATCGAACTTGGAGTGAAATATCCACTTATAGAGAAATTGTGAAATAATTCGTGTTTGAAAATTCAGACTATGTTAACAATAATAAATTCAGTTTCATAATCTAGACAATTTATTGGGTAATTTAAACAAATTAACATACAATTTCGACCAAACAATTAAGCGAACTGCGACTTTGATTTTTTTTTGGATGTGGTAAACTTAAATTTATTCGCTGTTTAAAGCTTTAAAATTTATTTCAATTTTGCTGTTTGATATCATCTATACTTATAAATTAATAAATTTTGCATATAAACTCCGAAACGGGTGCACAAGAGTTCTTACTTACCCCTCTAATACTACACTACATACAAGATGATGTCCGTAAACTATATTTAGATTTCACTCGGATAGTAAGTATCGTACTTAAAATTAAAAGTCTACTTCAATTTTCTGAAAACAGCCATGAAATAGCATCAACGTGAGTATTGTGGCGTTTCCGGTTGGCGGATCTAAGCTACTGATAAATTTTAAAGAAACTGACAACAAACAATCTATTATTTATTTCATAAAATGTCATCACTGAATTATTCAATCAAAACTTGATTTAACTGATATAAAAGAAATAAGTTGTGGTAACCAATTAAAAAGCGAAAAGTGAAAATTATTTTCGTCAATCACCAATCTCAATATTAACGGAAGCTTCTAGAACATCACGTCCCTTTTGCTACAATGTTTTAATCAAGAAATAATTAAAAATATTGTAATTAACGGGTTATTTGAGTAAATAGTTATACAACCAATGATGTTACATGTATATAGATTAGAATACAATAAAAACAAGTTTTGTAAAAAAGAGCAAAATATGCTTGGAATTTATCATAAACATATTGTTGCCGGGAAAAACACTAATATTTATTGATACAAGGATTATATAAGTAGACAAATGGTATTTGGTGATAAAGCGTTGGATAGTAAGAGTATCCGAACTGGATGCATGGCAATCCGACAGTGAGGTATCAAAAGTTGATGACGAGCGAATGACAAGTGAAAATATTTTAAATACAGGAAATACATATATCGAAAGACTAAAATAGATATGTAGTGTATATACGAGGGTTGTCCGTAAAGTTCGTGGACAAGCCAAAAATTTGATAAAAGTTGTGTCATTGATATTTATTATTGGCATATTTCTAATCCTTTACTTAATGTGAATTGAATAATGTAAAAATTTAATCAATATCAAATGTTTAATTATAATTATGGCTTCATAATTAGACTTGGAATGGAGACCCGGAGCACCGCAAAATTTTAATTAAAAATATATTTATCACTTTTTAAATTTCATTTGTATTTTCAAATATTCTTGGGAAATCTGAAAAAATTTTACATTATGAGGTTGACAGAAGTTATCACGTAAAACCTGCAAAATTTGAACGTTCAAAGTCTCAAAATGGTGGAGCAATCAGCGTTAGAACTTATTAAGACAGGATCGGAATCGTTCAAAAAAGAGACGTTTTCGGAATAGGTGGAGTAGTGAACAGTGATAAAATTCTGCGTTGACACTGGAAAAACACATACAGAGACCAATACATTCTGTAAACAATAGGGAAAACATAGTAAAAGAAGTCGTTTACTAGTATTTAAGTGGCATATACTATTTTCGGACGGAATGAACAGTTTACAGGATGACATGCGTGAAGGAAAACCATTATTCCGAGATTGCAGTGCTGTAAAATATGAATTTCGTAACGTGATCATGCCGTATTTCCGTAAATGAAATCGTCTTTACACGGACAGTGGTTAGATGATTGCAGGATATGATACAGGCATTGTTAAATATTATTTTAAGAATGAAACCTGAACATTTTGTGCATATTTTTATGACTGGTCAAAACGACATAAGAAATTGTATTGAGTTAAACGCTGACTATGTTGAGAAAAGTTACTAGTGCTCGTATTTAGCTTTTGACGTCGGTAACGTCAAGAATTTTCGTTTTAGTGCTCCGGGTATGAGTGTGTGTCTTTTTTGTATCTGATAAAATTATAACTATTTGTGGTTTGTTTTTGCTGAAAACTTGCATATTTATAAAATAAAACATAAATTTAATGAAAATAATAGTTTTAAATATTTTGTTAATGTTTGTCCGTAATTATCAATGGTGTCCACGAACTTTACGGACAACCCTCGTATATATGTTTTTGTTATGAGTTTATCGGTAAACACTGTATTTTCCGTACTGAGAGCATTGTGGTAACGAACCCGACGTACATTTTGTAATCAACTTAATTGCGCTCAATAAGAAAGAAAACTTACGAATAAGGTATTGTTCAAATACAATTAATTACAGCTATAAAGTTTTGTGCTTCAATAAAGATATTTCAGTTTTTTTTTTCTCTCTCAAAAAAAAAAAAATCTCCAATGCCAAATTCTTTAAGAACCAAATTTTTGGTATTCAACACTACATTTCCCTTATATGAATTTCCTGTAATATTAAAGGGGGGGGGGGGGCAACCAGTGTTTCACTGAACATTTCCAATAGTAAAAGTATTGGTGGGAAAAAAAGTGGGGGAGGGAGCCTTTTTACGCATCGATAAGGCTTCATGTATAATTATAAACCAAGACCCAAGAACCTGTAAATTTTTACCCCTCCCCAAACTCCCCAAAATCAATTTATTTGTATATTATGTATATTCGTTGCTTTTATCCTCCATGAAAATGAAATAAGAACATTTGAAGTGCAATATCCATAACATTGTATGAAGTTTTGAAGACATAAACGTCAATTAAAGCATTTTTTTATTTTTCAAGTTTTCACAAAAAGTTGGTGGGAATGGTGACGTACATTTCTTTCATGCAGACTTTTGAACAAAGTATTTCTTCCCTCTATAAGTCTGTAGTCTGTCAGTAAAATCTACAACTTCCAACTACAATATATCTAATTTTCTGTTGTAAATGGTAAAGTTCTATGTATAAATTCAATTTCCCGCGCTTGCGCGGGTAATTATCTAGTTCTTGTTATAAACAAGGCGTTAGACTTAAGGGTTTGCTGTTTAATTTTGTCAACTAACTACACGTTTTCGAGGAGAAGCTATCACCGTGCAGAATTTTTACACATGCGCGGATCTAGAGGGGGGGTCGAGACCCCCCCTGGAATTTAACAGATAAAAAAAGTATATACTAAAACAAGAAAATAGCTACCATGGACCCCCCCCCCCTCGAAAACTCAGACCCCCTGGTAATCAAAAATATGTGTGAAGTGGGTATGATAAGTGAAAGATTTGAAGCCCCCCCCCCCCGAAATAGGTTTTTTACCTTTGGGCAAGTTTTGGGTTTTTTTTTTTTTTTTTTTGCTTGTCAAGAAATTTCTGGGATTGGTTTTTTTTTTTTGACTGGGGTGGACCCCCCCCCCCCCCTGGAAAAAATTTCTGGATCCGCGCCTGTTACAAATTATCTTCTAAACTTTTATTTTTAAATTAAATAAATATGTTTTATCAACTATTTTTATTGAAAAAATTTCTAAATCTTTATTTATACTTGGATTATGAAACAACAAATTATTTTTTTATTGGCTTTTACAAGTAATGTTCAAGTTAGCTGCAGAACTGTAGCGTTATGGTTTTATTTATTAGTCTTTGACCATAACGCTACAGATCAATTAATGCAAACAATGTGCAATTTACGGCGCAAGATTTTTGCGCACTTTTAGAGAGAATTCCTTCCCTTTCCAGCTTTGGTCAATAAACTACCTGTCACTCCCTAATTCTAGATACATTTGACCAAACTGCGTATTTAATTCACCTCTCAACCCTTTATAGTCGTATCTACAGATATTTAGATTGTCTGTTGGGTTGCAGAAAATTCCAATCAAGCGAGTTTATCGCCTCCCTAGGGACGACTATAAAGGGTTGGGAAGTGGATAAACAAGAGGCCCACGGGCCTTATAGGTCACCTGAGTATCGTGTAACAACTTTCCAAGAATTGAATTTGGTTTGTGTTTTAAACCAGAGGCCATGAAATTCACAATTTTGAAAGAGGCAACAATGCTTATCATAATTATACACTTAGCAATGCTTACTAAATAGTCACTAACACCCATAAGTAGATCAGAAAAACTAAGAGAAAATGCACTTTCATTCTAAACCAGTTGTTCACCCTATCCCATCCCACAGGAACCACTGACCCTGGGGCCATATATTTCAATATTTCATCAAATATGGTTGATTAATACTAATGAGCAGATTTCAAAGCATTAATTTATTTTCAGACTATGTACCCCCCCCCCAACGATACCCCTGACTCAGGGGGCATGAAATTAACAATTTTGCTAGATGCACCTTTCCTCATCATAAATATATATATACTTAGATCATTGACATAATACCCAGGAGCAAAAGATTTTCAAAGAATTAATGTATTTTTAGTATATAATCAAAAGAGTCCCCAGTCCCCTTACACCAAATAGCAAAACCCCTGACACAGGGGCCATGGAATTCACTTATTTGGAAGAGGCACTCTTGCTTATTATAACTATTTACTTAGTTAGTTTATATAATACCCAGGATCAGAGGAGATAATTTTCGAAAAAATAATGCATTTTCACTATAAAATCTATATAGCCCCGCCCTAGCACTAGAATCCCTGACCCTGGGCCAAGAAATTCACAAATATGGAAGAGGCACTCTTGCTCATCATAACCATGTACTTAGTTACTTTATTTAATAATACCCCAGAGCAGTGAAGAAGATTTTCAGAGATTCAATGCATTTTCACTATATAATCAATAGAGCCCCGCCCTAACATCAGAACCCCTGACCCTGGGGCCATGAAATTCAAAAATTTGAAAGAGGCACTCTTTCTCAACATAACTATGTACTTAATTTATTTAATACCCAGGAGCAGAGAAGAAGATTTTTAAAGAAATAATGCATTTTTACAAGTTTAGTTGAGTTCACAGTGCATGCTTTCTCCAACCATGCCAAGAGTTTGACTGCATGATATACATGAATACAGATTGATTGTGTTTTGTTTAGCGTCCCTCTGAAGTATTTTCAACGCTAATGGGGACGCCACCACTTGCCGTTAGGAATCTGCAAATTTTGTACTATTCTCGGCACTCTAGGCCATTGAGTAGGGAGGGATCTTATCTTGCCATCACCTACTGCGCCACGGGATTTCGATTTTTCAGGTATCATCTGAAGTACCGGTTCCAAAGTGGGATTCGAACCCGCGACGTAAGGATCATCTCCTCACTTTGCGACTCTTGAGCAGAGTTTTAAAAATTGCATTTATTTTTTGGTTTTAGCCCCACCCCTCATGCCCAAGGGTATTTAACCATTGAAGGCACAATTTACATGCCAAATTTGGTTGCATTTGGTTATTTCAGAAAGGAAGCTAAAAATGTTCAAATGTTAAGACACAACGCATGACGACGAACGAAAACAGATAGCTACAGGTCACCTTAGTGCTTCTGCTGACCTAAAAAGCAAAACAGTATTATTACAGAAATCTTTTAAAAATTTGTTCTTTAATACCCATAAGGGACTACAAATGTCGACAAAATGTCTATGTTGGTCTCAGAGTTTGACTTGCTACAACTTATTTTGGTCAGATTTTCAAAGATTGGATGTGGCATCCCAGAGATTCTTGCTCATGAGATACATTTAACATGTAAATGTGATACATGGCAATATGGCTATACATCAGGTTGATTAA